CAGGGTAAGACATCATATATTGTTCCTCCAAAAATATTTGGTTGTTTATGTTTTGTTCATCTTTGGCATGGAGGCAAGTTAGAACCTCGAGCTTTGAAATGTGTATTTGTTGGTTATTCTACCTCTCAAAAGGGTTATAAGTGTTATCATCCTCCAAACCGAAAATACTTTGTGAATATGAATGTGACCTTTAGAGAGTCCGAGCCTTGTTTCTCCCCAGCTCCTCTTCAGGGGGAGATTAGGATAGAAGAGGAAGCTCCTTTAGCTCCTATGTCTGTATCTGTTCTTGAACAATTTTTGAATCTTAACACTAGTAATGAGCATGAACCCAAAAATGGTAGACTTGATAGGCCAGATTTAAAGAGGTACAGTCAAAGAGAGAAGGCTAAACGCATGACACACCTGGTCAACCGTCGTCTCTGTAACAGCTCCTGAAAAATCACCTGGTAAGTCTTCTATAACTCCTAGTTCTAATTCTGATGCAATTTCTTCTGTTATTATTCCTAACCCTAAACCTGCCATTGATGATGTTGATCTTCCCATTGCTCTCATAAAAGGGGTTAGAACTTGCACCAAACATCTCATAAAAGGGGTTAGAACTTGCACCAATTGCCACCCAAACATCCTATATCCCAAATGATTTCCTTATGACTGCTTATAATCTCCTCCTATTAGAGCTTTGTGTTGTATGTTTCTTCTGTTTTTTGTTCCACGAATTGGCAGGAAGCATATCAAAGATCAAAATGGAAAGCAGCAATGGGTGGAGGAGATGATAACTTTGCAAAGAATGGAACTTGGGAAACTTGTTACCCTTCATTAGGAAAGACAAACTCTTTATCTCCTTCCTATAGAGCCTTTGTGTTGTATGTTTCTTCTGTTTTGTTCCACAGAATTGGCAGGAAGCATATCAAGATCCAAAATGGAAAGCAGCAATGGTGGAGGAGATGAAAGCTTTGGCAAAGAATGGAACTTGGGAACTTGTTACCCCTTCATTAGGAAAAAAACCAGTAGGGTGCAAATGGATGTTCAGTGTTCACAGTAAAACATAGGGCAGACGACATAATTGAAAGGTACAAAGCCAGATTGGTAGCCAAGGGATTTACTCAGACTTAAGGGGTGCACTATCAGGAGACTTTTGCACCAGTTGCAAAGATGAACACTATTAGAATCCTATTGTCTTGTGCAGCCAACCTGGATTGGAGTCTGCATCAATTTGATGTAAAAAATGCTTTTTTGTATGGTGATCTAGGAGAAGAGGTGTACATGGATATTCCTCTAGGCTTTGATGATGAGAAGACTAGAGTTAAGATTTGCAGATTGGAGAAAGCATTGTATGGGCTGAAGCGGTCACCTAGAGCATGGTTTGACAGATTCAGTAAGGCCATGATTTCCTTTGGCTATTCTCAAAGTAATGTTGATCATACCTTGTTCATCATACACTGTAATGGTAAGATCACTTTACTAATCATCTACGTTGATGATATGGTTGTAATTGGAGATGATGAGGAGGAGATTGCTCGATTAAAGAAGTTTTTGGCTCAGAAGTCTAAGATACTTTTTGGGTATAGAAGTTGCTAGATCAGATAAAGGGATCTTTCTCTCTCAAAGGAAATACATCCTGGATCTCTTGAAAGGAATTAGCTTGGGTTGTAAATCAGTTGACTCTCCCATTGATGATGAGGAGGAGATTGCTCGATTAAAGAAGTTTTTGGCTCAGAATTCTAAGATACTTTTTGGGTGTAGAAGTTGCTAGATCAGATAAAGGGATCTTTCTCTCTCAAAGGAAATACATTCTGGATCTCTTGAAAGGAATTAGCTTGGGTTGTAAACCGGTTGACTCTCCTATTGAAGTTAATCACAAGTTACAAGCAGGAATGGGCGAACAGGTTGACTTGGGTCAATATCAAAGATTGGTTGGCAAATTGATTTATCTCTCACATACTAGACCTGATATAGCATATGCTGTAAATCTTGTTAGTCAATATATGCATGATCCTCATAGTTCTCATCTTGAAGCTGTCTTTCTCATTTTAAGATATCTAAAGTCTTCTCCTGGAAGAGGTCTACTTTTCTCTAAGTATGGTCATCTCAAAACCAAAGCCTTTACTGATACTGACTGGGCTGGATCTCCAGATGATAGGAGATCAACTTTTGGTTTGTTGGAGGAAACCTAGTTACTTGGAGAAGTAAAAAGCAGACTGTAGTAGCACGTTCGAGTGCAGAAGCGGAATATAGAGCTATAGCTCAAGGAGTTTGCGAACTGTTATGGCTAAGAAAGATAATGGAAGAATTGCAAATGTCGAAAGGAGAAGATTCAACTTTGTTCTGTGATAACAAGGATGCAATTAGTATTGCTCAAAATCCAGTTCAGCATGACTAAACAAAGCACATAGAGATTGATAGATATTTCATAAAAGAAAAAGTCATTCAAGGTGTTGTGAAGCTTACTCATGTGACTTCGGATAATCAAATTGCAGATGTTCTGACTAAAGGGCTTAACAGCAAACAATTCCATAACTTGGTTTGCAAGTTGGGCATGTGCAATATCTATGCATCAACTTGAGGGGGAGTGTTGACTTAGTTGATTTGGAGTATCCTTGTGTAGGCTATTTAGGAGTATATATTGCTCTTTCCCTATTTATTCTTTTCCTATTTTAGAATTTGATACTTGTGTATAAATAGGTTGTATAAGTTCTCATTGAAACACAAGAAATATATAACAAAAGTTTCCCAAACCCGTTCTTAAAATCAACATAGGATCCCTAGGATTAGTTAAATTATTAGCTTAAACAGGATTTAATAAAACATGGATTCCTAATTAGCATAGGATCCCTAGATGTTAGTTAGTCTATTCCTAAATATAGATTAAACTTCCTGTTTTTATAATTTCCTAGTTTATGTGTAACCTCTATTTAAAGAGGTATTATTGGTATTGTTAAGGATTAGTTGTAAATAGAGTTCTATTAGGAGTTAGATTCCTAATTAGTTTATGATTTGTATTCCTAAATAGCTAGGTAACATAGGAATTCCTTATATACCTAATAGTTTTATGGAATTTGTATTCTTAATAGCTTAGGTACATAGGAAGTTCCTTATATATAGATAACCATATTAATCGATTGATGAGAATACAAAATACAACTACATATTATTCTCTCACAATGGTATCAGAGCCTTCCATTAAAAAAAAAAAAAAAAAAAAAAAAACCCAAAACTTCCTTTACGGGAAGCCACTGCCACCCTAGGAAGCCTTTCTAGAGTTAGTATTTTGCCTCACCACCGACCTCAGGATATTCTCCGGCCGCTGATCAGCGCCTCCCCAGAATCCGGTTGCCGGATTCCAAGTGAATGGTCCCCACGCGTCACCTCTTTCTTCCTGCTTTGGTCCATGCGCTGGCGCATGTCCAATGGTCTTTTTCACTCCGGTTCCTCTCTCCGGCGTTGACTTGAAGATAGAAGTGCAACCCAGTGAGTTGCACCATTATTCTTGGGCTTATTCAATAGGTTTGTTTGCTGCGATTCTGTTGCAGCAGTGTCGGACAGTATTCTGCTACTGTTGTTGCTTTAATTTGCTGAGGAAGCCTATCTTTTCCTTTGTTGTGACAATTGTTTTAGGTAATTTTCGGTGATTTTCTAGTGATTACTTATTGCATTAGAGTTTAGTACTGCACCTTTGCTGCAGTTACGCGTATTCTGCTTTTGAACCTTCTCCTTTATCGAGAGCAGTGCAGCCCCAGTGAGTTGCATAGTGTTCTTGGCCTTCGGTGGCGTGCTCCGTTTGCTCGATTTTCCTTTGCTGCGTTTCTGAATATTTGCGCTACTGGGATTCCTCTTTGAAGCATTGATTAAGAAGCTTGAAACAACCCTAGGAGTTGTTTTCTGGTTCAGTGAGATTTGTTTCGACAACCTAAGTGTGTTGTGTTGATTCTGCTACTACTATTTGGTTTGGGATTCTTCATTGCTATAATGAAGTGGGTACAGTTGCTGAGTATGGTATTGTGCTTTGCTGAAAGTAGTAGTTTATAACAAGTTGAGCATGATTAACATCTATGCATAGTTTGTAAACAAGTATGAGCATGATTATCATCTATGCCTCCAAACTTCGAGGGGGAGTGTTTGAAGGGATTAGTTGTAAAATAGAGTTTAAATTAGAGTTAGATTCAATAATTAGTTATATGATTTTGTATCCGTAAATAGCTAGGTAACAGAAGGAATTCCTTATATTTGTATTCCTAAATAGCTAGGTAACATAGGAATTCCTTATATATAGACCTATGTAATCGATTGATGAGATACAAGAAATACAATTACAATATATTCTCTCAACAGGTATTAATAAAGTAAGTTGGGATCTTTCCCAAACATGAGATTGGAGCTCTCTCTCTAACGAGATCCAAAGGTGTCGAGCTCCCTTTGATGAGTTTGAACATAATTCACGATAGGTTGCTCAAAGTAATTGTAATAAGAGCAGATCCTTGAACCAGATTTCCAGTGAATCACCCTGTGACAATATCCTGGTCTAGGGAACATAACATGCAACTTTTAGATTGTCCTATAAATGTTCGAATAAATTCTGTTGTCTGAGACAAGAACACACCATACAAGGTCTTTTACCCAGGAACGTTGTAGATTTTAAAGATAAAATAATGAAACAATAGATCTGGTTGCTTGTTATACACACGAATCCTATAACCTGTATTCATAACTTGCCTTATCCATGAGAAGATTGTATAATAGCAGGAAAGTATTTGCATTTTCCAAAAAGACAATAGTTAAAGTTGCAAGATGGATATACTTATGATAGTATAGCTAATGTTAGTGATATTGATATTTGATTAGGAGATTCTTCACTATGTAACTTAGGATATTGTGGGCTATGAATCATGGATGTATTTGGTTCCTATGTGTTCTATATTTTTTATTGTCTTGTTCTAGAGAAAATAATACGAATCTGAATTTTATGTTATCTTTAATTGCTTCAATTTGTGCATGTTCTTCAGGTCAGAATTTGCTCGTCTTAATTTTCATGGATTCTACACTGCAGTCTTGGAGAAAGATGACGTTCTTTTATCTGTAGCCTCCATCAGGTAGTATCAAATGTTTACCCATCTGTAGGACATGTCATAATTTGAATAACATCTAAAGATACTATCATGTGGCAAATAACTGTGTTAGATTTAATTGTTTCTGTTTGATATCACTAATATGGTTTTATTTTTACTCCTGAAACCATTTCTATACTTTAAGCTGATCAGTTTCCTCAATTAATGACTAAATCTTTTTAATAGACTTTGTGATGATGCATGGCATATCTTGAAACTCATCTACTATAATTTGGTGATTTAGGGAGTATGTGGAGTTTAGGTCATGTGATGGTAGACTAAATCGTTTATTGCTCCTCATAAAAAAGAAAAAGAAAAAAGAAAATACCAAAATGTTATGGGGCTGGTGATTAGATTGAAGAATGGCTCAGAAACAACTCAATGGAATTTCAGGAGAGCACTAAGAGAGAATTCCCAGGTTGATTTAACGAGTGGCTGAAATTAAAGAAGCTGAGCTTCTTATTGACTTAAAAGTGCAACAAAATGCAAATACTGTAGGGTCATGACAATGCTTAAAGATCAAGGACAATTTGGGGCGGTTAAGTGTTGCAAGTTCTATGATTTCTCCAGTAAAAAAAGGCTGTTTTAATAGTCTGGTGTTCTGCTGTTGTATTTATTATGATGATTACTCACTTAGAACTAGAATAAAGAAGGTATCATGAATAAATTAACGAACCATTTAGTTTTCTTTTTGTTTTTGCTCTTGGCTTTCTTAAAATCATACGGCGAACAAAAACAATTTATCAAGTGCAAGAGTTGATTGTTGCATAAAGTTCCTTCTTACAATTGATTTTCACTTTTTTTATGTGAAAGGAAATTCTTGTATATATCACGCATGCCATTCTATGGTTAGTTTTTCTTCATAGGAAAATCAAAATGTGCGAGACAATGCTTTTCAAAAGAGAAAATCAAATTAAACCAAAAGGAAAAGGACATTGCTATATTAGGTGAGAAAAATGTTCCTAATAGGGATGTTAGCAAAATCAAATCCCTGAAAAGGACATTCTACTTTCCTAGAATGCCATATGGAAAAAACTCAACAGCCTTTCTACTTCCTATTTAATTTACAATTCCATTAACCATACCTTCTCTCTCTCTTTTTTTTTTCTTTTCTTTTTGAGCGGCAACTATACCTTCTTTAGTGACAGGAAGTTAAGAAGATATTTAAAAAAAAAAAAAATCTTTGAAGATAACATGGGGAATCAAGTTCAAGTACCAATTTGTAAGTTAGGATTTTGTTAAACAACCGGTCTTCAAGGCATAGGTGTAAAAATTTACTCTTTTAAACAAATTATTCTTGGTAGGTTAATACTTGAGAAATCTATAATTATCACTTCCTATGTAATTTACGATGGAATGCTTTCATAGACTCTATGATAATTGCTAGAAAGTAAAAACATGCAAATATGAGTGGCATGTAGCTTTTTGCCGCCAAATAGATGTAATGAAGCTATACCAGTGAATTCTCTCTGCTCACCTCTAATGGTTGATAGATTGAGGAGGCTAGGGTCCTTAGACACTTATTGAAGAATAATTTCTCTTTGAAGTATCAAAACAAGATTCTACACTCATTGGTCGCTAGACATTCACAAGCATGATATGAATCAATACCACACAATGAATGTGACAACTTGTCTTTAATACCCTTCTCTCCATGTACTCCCAATGAAAATTGAAGATATTAATTGAAACAAGAAACTGTAAAAGAGAAAGAAGAAGAGAAGTTTGAAAACAAGCAATCGGCTTGATCGATTCCTCATATGAGTTTAGGGTATATATAGTACAAAGTCTATAATTTAAAAAGGAAAATAATCTCCTAAGTATCTCTAATTATGACTAAATATCACCCTAATATATGCACAATATATTCTAATAATTACAAGGTTCTAACACTCCCCTTGAAGTTGGAGGCATACACGTCATATGCTCCTAGCTTGTTATAAATGTATTCAATGCGGGGACCTCTAAGAGACATTGTAAGGATGTCCGCTAATTGGTCATTCGAACCAACAAAAGAGGTAGAAATACATCCTGATTCAATCTTCTATCTGATGAAGTGGCAATCTATCTCTATATGTTTTGTCCTTTCATGAAACACTGGATTAGAGGTAATATGAAGTGATGCTTGATTATTACAAATCAATTTCATATATTTGATTTCTCCATATTTTAATTCTTGAAGGAGTTACTTTAGCCAAATAAGTTCACACGTAGCCAATGCCATGGCTTGGTATTCTGCTTCTACACTCGATCTACAACTTGTTTTTTACTCTTCCAAGATATCAAATTTCCACCAATCTGAACACAACTCAAAAGTGGACCGTCTATCAGAGCGAGAACCTGTCCAGTCTGCATTAGAGTATCCAACAATTTGTCAGTGATCCCTGTCTTCATACAACAAGCCTTGGCCAGGAGTTCCCTTGATATACCTAAGAATGCGAATCAATGCATCTCAGTGGCTATCACATAGAGATTGGAGGAATTGGCTAACCATACTTACTACAAAAGAAATATCAGGTCTTTTGAGATAGTTTAGCTTACCAACCAACCTTTGATATCTACCAGGATATTCTAATGGCTCCCCAATCCAGAAATAAGTTAACAATTGAGTCCATGGGCTTATCCACATATTTGCAATCTAGCATGCTAGTTTCTTCTAGTACATTTAAAGCATATTTTCTTTGTGAAATGGAAATACCCGTTTTTGATCGTGCTACCATGATCCCTAGGAAATACTTAAGATTTCCTAATTCTTTGGTCTGAAAATGGCTAAACAAATGCTGTTTGAGTTGAGAAATCTATTCATGAGCATTACCTGTTATCACTTGTCATCAACATAGGCCACTAAGTAGATACACTTGCTATGATCTCCATGTCGGTGAAATACTGAATGATCAATTTCACTTCGGTTCATTCCAAATTGTTTCACAACAGCACTGAATCTTCCAAACCATGCCCTAGGAGATTGCTTTAAACCACAGATCTCTGCGTAAACAACAAACTAAGCCAAACTCCCGCTGAGCAACAAAATCAGCAGCATTTTTAATTAATGGTCATCATATTCTTGTCCCATAAATCATACTCTACTGAAGCATACCGGGAGATATAATTACTACTACCTTCCAATTTAACGGTAGTAATAGTGGGAGAAGTTGAGAAAAGAGGTTTGAAAAGACCTGGAGTTGGAGTCAGAGTTCCATTGTTCTCAGGCATGATGAGACTGAAAAAGGAGAAATGCTATTGCTGAACCTGCTGTTGTATGCATTCCGGTCAGAGAGGTTGCTGGAAAAGATGTCTGAATGTACTGTTTATGTCTTGACAGAAGAAGGAAGCTGATCTGAGAAGAATGGAGGTGGTAGAAGAGATCGTTGGAAGCAGGTGACCTTGCTGGTAGATTTCCCAGTCAGAAACATCGCCGGAAAAAGAGCTCGCACTAGTGAATGGATCAGAGTCCGGACTGTTACGGCGGGGCATGGTAGTCAACGGTGGGGATTCCGGGGCTGGGATTTTGTCTCTGAGGTCGCCAGCAGCCGCTGAAGCAATCTAGAGGGGCAGTGAGAATTATTTCTTTCAAAAATAGGTGGTTTTAATAGGTCAGTTTTTGAACTCTACTTTCATAGTAAGCCGATCAGGGTGAGGAAGAGATGAAGAAGAAACTCAGGCCAACTGAGGATCTGATATCATGTAAAAGAGAAAGAAGAAGAGAAGTTTGAAAATAATCTCCTAAGTATCTCCTAATTATGACTGAATATCACCTTAATATATGCACAATATATTCTAATAATTACAGGATTCTAACAAGATTCTAACATACAAACTTGAAAATCATAATTCTTGCTCTAATGGCATAAAGCATCCAACCATTGTAAAAACTTTGAATAGCAATAGAGGCCCACATATAATGTAGGGGTATATCCAAATGCACTATTGGAGTTGAAGTCATCCTACCAATGATGCCAAGTTTTTGTGTCATGGGCATTAGGATTGTGTCATTGAAGTCAACCATCATTCAGTTGTGTTTCGTGGGTTCTGTTTGCATTTTGTTGCTTACACGAGGTATTTTTATTAGAATTCCATATAAACACAGCTTGTACCTAAAGTGTGCATGGTAACAAAGTGTTAGCTAGTAGCTAGTATGAAAATATTGTTTTAAGTTTGATGAAAAATTTATTTTGATGAAAAATTTATTTACCTTTTTGCAATTATTACAAATACTTAGCATTTCAGCTAACTGTTTAATTAGAAAGTTGCAATAATGCTTATTAGGTTGTAAGCTAATTTTTTTTATGGTGGTAATACAGTTATTATGGTAGTATCGATTACATTATTGTATGTTACTGTCCATGCAACTATAAATAGAATTATTGTGTTAGGTCCTTTTCTGAATTCTTATTCACTGGTGCATAATTGGTATGTGTAGCATATTCCCCTTGACAATTATGTGTAAGCATGTTTGCACATGCACACATTCTGGTGCATTAAAATACTATCTATTTTCCCAATAATTTACTGTCATCTTTCTCACCAACACCTCAATCAAAAATCACAAAAAGGGAAAAGAAAAAAAGAAAGAAAGAAACCTTAATTCCACCTCCACAAATGATGGTCAAAATACAACTATGCATAACTTACTGTCGGTGACGGCTGTTTTAAAGACTTGATGTCAGAAAATGGAACTGTCTTCAAAATTTCCTTCTCTCTTGAATTCCTAAAATTACTGAAATTATAATTTGATTTAGGTCAGCGACTTTTCTTAATTTGAGTCCTTCAGTCTGGAGATAACGAAATGATTTCAATTGAGTCCTTCCATACTGGACTTAATGAAATGATTTCAACATTAACCCTTGCTTAGAGAGACTAATAAAGAACAAATGCACATAATCGAGCCATAAGAGATCTTGTAATAAATTTATAGATCTAATTATTTATTACCTTAGAAGATTCAATTCTAACCTTTAGCGGATAAGAAATTTGAGAGTGAAAAATTAAGTTGAATGTTGCTTTTGTGTAGTGCTGTTTTTTACACTTTTTTTACCTATAAAGAGACACCATTTGTCTCTAACCTATTCCCATCTCCTATTGTCCGTTCAATCACCATCTCCAGCGGTTTCACCTGTCACAGCTGCATCTTTGCCAAATTGCCAATGACAAAGAAATACACGCATCACCATTTTCACGCAGTCATTTATTGCTGGGATCCCTACAACCCATTGTAAAATACTGGTCTCTATTGAATTCATTGTTCAATCTGTCACAGCCAATTCCCAGACCACGGTCCCGTTATTATTTTCGCACCAACTAATCACCTTCCACCACCACTTTCTAATTTAACAACTATGATCTCCTATCTGCATAACCTATTAAACATCAGCTGCAATACCTGTAATTGCAAACTGCTGAAAATACCTCCTAAACCACAATCAAATTTGAATTGGGGAACATAATTACAGAATCTAGAGAATAGACAATTGCAGATGCGAATTCTTTAGGCAACTGCAGAACCACACCAAATACTTCATCATCAACACAGCCGTACCATAGCTGTCCAAACATCAAACCATCTGTCAACCTACCACTCTACTGACCACCAAGTTTCAAGAGAGTAATCAATTCCTTGAGCTCAAGTTAACTTCACCCAGAAGCCACCCAAATTTTTTCTGAGTTAGGTTTGCTGGTCATCCTAGTAATTTTTGGGCATATGGAGCTTTAATAAAAAATTTATACAATTTTCATGATAGTGCCATCATGAACTTCCTTTTTGCTTTATTTTAGTCGACTCTACTCATTCATTTGTTTTCATTTGCATCTTTGTCACTATTGACATTTTGTTTATTTGCAGGGTACATGGAGCAACAGTTGCAGAGATGCCTCTCATTGCAACTTGTAGCAATTACCGTCGTCAGGGCATGTGTCGACGCCTTATTACTGCTATTGAGGAGGTATATTGATACTAATAAAGTATATATGCACTATTGCATTGATTGACTTAGTACTTAATCTTACACAGCAGCATCTTATTCTTTGTGTCATAGCTCAGCTATAATTAATTGGATTTAGCAAAACAATTTGATATGAGCAGAACTTTTAAATCTGAACTTCCCAATAGTTTTGCTTGGCTTTGTCCTTGATCCACTTCTTTGTATATAGGCCATGATTTCCTCATTGCATCAACCCATCATATCAGATTTCCCTGAGCATTTAACAGAATTTAATCACTCTTCAGAAGTGGTGAAATTGTTGATTCATAATGCATTGTCAAATTCCTTGAGACAAATTTCTCCTCCTTTTAATTGATTGGTAGCATATGGTTTTCTAGGCATTCTTTCTTTATTCTTTCACTAGTGACTAGTGAGTTCTTGCTTCGTTTTATTGCCTGTATGCATCTCTGATATATCTTTTCTGGTTATAGTTGCTCTAGGATTCTTACCTCTAATTTGGCTGCGTTTAGGCTCTCACAGTTTCCTTGCTTTTGATTCTCTTCGAGTTTTAAATTGCTTTTATAAGAAGCCTATTCTACGACTGATACTTCCCTTTTCCTCAATTGTGTTTGCAGATGCTAGTCTCTTTTAACGTGGAAAAGCTGCTTGTATCTGCCATTCCAGATTTAGTGGAGACATGGACAGAGGGTTTTGGCTTCACACCAGTAAGTACTGATGAAAAGCGAAGTCTGAACCAGATAAACTTGATGGTGTTCCCAGGAACAGTATTGCTAAAGAAACCTTTGCTTAAAATAAACAAGGCAAATGCACAATTGGGTGAGCGCTTTTCCCTTTTCAAAAGAAGCTAGGCATTTCTTCATGAAGTTTATTCAATTTTCTGAAAAATCAATTTAATTTCTTTGTTAAGTCAGAACTCAGTGCTCCACCAAAGGTTGAAGGAGCAACTTTTAATGCTGAGGGGCATAACATTGAGTCCTTGCAGCAATTCAATGAAAGTGATGTCAAAATGGAGGCTGAACTTGTTGAAAGCCAAGATATTCAAGAATCGAAAGTTAGTATTGATAGGGAAATAACTAATGGCGTCAATGGTGTTTGTTCCAATCAAGAGGTTCCTATTGAATCAGTAGAGCCATCTGACACAAAATTTTGCTCAAATGCAGATGCTGCTAGACTGGAGGATAAGAATTTGACAGTAGGGGAAAACCAAGGTAGCAATTTGCAGGAACAATTTTCAAAGCTGTTCTGCATAGAATCTGTTTCAGAAGTAGGAAAAAACCAAGCTGAACTTGCTTGTAATATTCATTTTGTAAATGATAAGCCTTCTATAGACAGAAAGCTAACAAGTTTTTAAGATAAATGAGAAGTAGAAATAAATTTGCAAATTTTGCCAAATTTTCTTTTGTTTGTCGTGTGTGTGTCTGTGTGTGTAGGAAAAGGAAAGGGTCATGAACTGGACTCATTTTTAGCCAATTTTGAATAAGGGATGTGATTGAGAATCATGATGCTTAGAGTTTGCTTTTGTTTAAATGTGATCTGATATTTGAGTTGGCCCGTGTAAATGTCACTGGAGCTAATGTTATATTGATTTACTACTTAATAAGATTTTTATCAGATGTTAAATAAAGTAATGAATTTTAAAAATTTTTCCTCCGATTTTTATTTTGCTATTTTGCTTTGCATTGCTATTAATCTGATTAAAGCGGATAATAGAAATAAAGAATTCATATGATTGATATCTAACTAGTTTGGAACTAAAAAGCTTATAATACCCTACAAATACCCATTAAAACACTTTTTCCCTTTCTGAAGATTTTTTTTCCATAATGTAAATGTATTTTGAAAAATATAAAAATAAATTGTGTTCCTTGATATTTATAAATGAAACAGAAACATATAAAATTTTTATGCATGTTAATAATAATAAGTTGCAACTTTTGAAATATATATATATAAAGATTCGGTTAAAAATGATCAGAAACACCCAGAGAGAGAGAGAGAGAGAGAGAGAGAGAGAGATAGACTCGTCTATAGAATTTTTTTTCTTATGGGAAATGAATTGTACTCATACAATATCAGACTTGTGGAACTCTGAAATTATTGTCTGAAATCAATACTATATCCCACTGAACCAACACAGGTTTCTATTATTCAAGCACAAACCTGGTTACACTAAGAAACTATTCACAGTTTTCATGAATTCAACTAATCCCATCATCAGAGATTTCTCATACTAGCTACCATGTTTGCTATTCTAATATCTTTCCCAAGCCGTAATCAAACCATAAAATGCTTTCTCAAAAAATAACTTGGCATAAATTGCAAACCCTTTTTCTTCACCAGTGATGAAGCACATCGACATGGGTACATTTTTAATGTGTGAAATTAATTTAGTTCCCTACTGGCAAAGTGGCCAAGAAAAGAATATATATCACAATCACGAAATCTTGGCCCCATCATTTCCCTTTTTCTGGTAATAGCCATTCTCCGAAAGCCTCATTTCTTCGCCTTTGCAAACCTCAGGCAGCGATACTTTTCACCACTTACAGTGATTTCGAGAGCTCCATCTTGATTATCCTGATTTGATGCAGTTCCCATTAGAACACTTTTCTCTTTCTCAAGATTTTCTTTTTCCATCTTCAGCCTTGCTTCTTGGCGAGCAATCTCTGCCTGCAACAATTAAACCATGTTTTAGAGGATAGAACAGATATAATCTTACCAAACTCTTCATTGCACTAATTTAGCAAATATTTGACATTGACAATATGAGCAGTCGTTGATTGTAGGACCACCAAAACTAACAATAAGCACCCATAAAAAACAAGTGTAATTACTTGACAATACTAACAGATGTCAGCCAGCAGCCAAAGGCATTGAAAACCACTATAGGAACATTACTAAATGTACAATAGTAACATGAATGGCCAGTTAGGAATAGAAAAATTGTTGGATGCTTGGAAACTAGGTGGTGTTTGATAAGCAAACCTGGTAGGTAACCAGCATATTTACATTTATCACAACAATTAGATGGCACTGTAATTAAAAAGAGAACCTTGCCACGACAAATTACAATACATAATTTCCTTCAGCAACTTAAAAGAAATTGATCAGGCATTCTTTACCAGCAACTAATTTCCGGTGACTAAGGAACATCAGTTCATGCAAAAGCAAAGAGAGGAACCAAAAGACCTTTAAAAAATGTCATAAATCATGAAACAAACAAACACAAGCTTTGACTCTTTAATTCCGAACAAAGTCAAACAAACCCAAAAGGCCATATACAATACTTCTGTTGGTTATCATTCATAAAGCAAGTGGTTATCATATTATATATATCTGCCTACGAATTACGAAAAGTATGTTTTGCTGTCAGAATTAAGTGCTTGCTACTAAGAGCAGTCAAGATACAAAAAGCAATTGCTTCATCTAAAGTATTGAATTACTAATTCCAGTAGAAGCACCTAAATATTTTTCACTACATGTAGAAGAGTAATCTATCCAAAGACAGCTCACACTTATTCAAGGCAATCTTTCCAAAAGTCAGAGAAAAGCACGAAAACAAATGTCTTATTAGATGTGGAGCTTCTGGTCTTGTAGTTAGCACAGGACCGACAAGTGATAGCTCAAAATGTTGCATTATATATTGAGATTGTGCCATACTAACACCTCGAATTGGCTAGCAGATAACTATTGAGTCCTTCGGCTACCAATCACTCTCCCTACTGTTCAATCCTTCTGTTCTCTCCCAAGTTTTCTCTTCTATAGTTTGGTTCTTCCATTGCACCAAGTATTCTATGTGTAGGGTTTCCAAGGATCTTTCCACTTCTTTGTCAAAGGACTTTCTCTTATGGATGACTGGCTCTTGTGGTTTGTTTTGACAGACATTGCCAGCATCCAGGTGATATGGTTTCAGCTGATTGACATGAAACACCTTTGTATCGCCATCCATGTTGGCGATACAACATGTAGACCTGGTATCAATGTTTCCCACTTTGGAAATAATGGGAAACACACCTTCGTATTTGAGTGACAGTCTCTTATTAATATGATTGGGAAAGTGGAAAGTGATCTTGATAAGCACCGGATCTCCAACTTCAAAACTAAGTGGCCATGACTAGAACAGACATTGCAAGGTCGCAAATAGGCACAAACTAAATGTTAAACAATGTTATAATTTTGCTTGGTCTATCATATTCTCTTGTTAGAATCATCATCAAGTCTTTCTGTAAAGCCTCTGCTAATAGCATTCTTATCCATTTATTTGGATGTTAATTGAAAACTTAAGAGTAGAAGATACATATGGCAATTGGTAAACAACAATAACCCTAGCCAAACTGTCAAATTCTGTAACCCCATCCATAATATTCAAAAGCCTCTAATTCCTGAAATCGAGACAGCCGCTTCCATCAAGATACTAGTCCATTGTTGCAATTAAAACATCAATTAGAAGACCACCATTGCTTTTTCCAGCCGGCCTTTTACCAAATTAAATTTTTCCTTCAACAACAACCTATCCCCAATTCAACCTACAAACCCTAAATTCATAATCCCAAAAAGGTTCAATTTTAACGCAGCTTACAAATACTTGCAAATATTAAAAATCATAGGACACGATTAATCCTTATTAAAATGGGGAAAAAAAAAAAAAAAGAACACCAAGAAAGTAATAAGCAAAAAATGGAAATGAACCTCGCGACGAGAGAGCTCAGCCTTCCAAGCAGCTTCACGCTCAGCGACTTCGCGTTCACGCTCTTCAATATAACTCTGCATTTCTCTCTCTTTCATTATTCTGTCTTGAATATCCGCATCCAAAGCTTCCTTTAGCTCCTGAACGAACTTGTCAACCACCGCTTTGATCCTCAGTGACATCTCTTTTTCTTTTTCTTTCTTTTTCTCTGTTAATCTCCAACCAAACAAACAATCTGCTATCAGAGCTATCCAATTGAAGCTTTACTAATAACATCAGCAGCGAGTTTTTGATTATTAAGCCATTTTGGTATCATAATCAAAGGCAACTATGATTCAAGAAACCAATGAAGAAGGCAACCATTTGACACAGAAACACAGATAGCTACAGAAAGACAGAGAGGGGGTCCAGCTTCCAGAGAAAATGGGAAGTTTGCGTGAACGGGGACGATCCCATTTTTACACTACTTTTTATTTTGTGGGCGATACACTTGCTAAGGAGACGGTGCCGTTTCAGTAGTTCCAGTCTTGCGCAGGAGGGAGCAAAGTCCGGTGAAAACCGAACCAAGCCTACCAGGTTCGGTTTCAGTTTAAATTTTGGGAAACTAGTTATTTCATCTTGACATTTGACCAAATTAACTAACTCGCTTCTGTATTTTGACAATATTAATTAACAGTCATTGAGAAGTAGCTCCGTCAAACCACTTATTCTCTTCCATCCATTTTATTTCCGTTAAAATCATGAGAATTGATAAAAATATCCAACATTTAAAAAGGTAAAAACTAATCTAATTATTAATTTACTGTACTAAATTTATAAATGAAAATAAAAGCAAAGAAAATGAACCACTTCCCAAACCAAAGAAACCAAATATAAAATCATTAAAACCATGTTAAATCTGGGGGGTTCCACTTAAATTGAACCAAATAAGAGAATCAAACCAGTTCTAAAATCCTCAATGAATAATCGAAGAGAGAGAGAGTGAAAAATTAAAAAGTCCCGATTTCTCCCTCGCGATCACTCTTTCCCCTTTTCTACCAGACTGATTTCGACCACCAAAAGATTGGCCGAAGGTGGCCAGCCACTCCTCAAACGATGGTGATCATGTTTTCAGTTCCCGTCAACCGACCAAAGTCTATTTGACGTGAACCGAGGCTTTCTTTCTTCTGCAATGTTATCTTCTTCTCCAATCGACATCTCCGGCCACCCTCTCACAAAGTCCACGCCAGCGAAGTCTTACCGGCCATCGAGTATGCATCGGTTCCTATTTCCTTGTGCGATTTCGGCCTGTAGCTTACGTTGTCGAGTTTACGGGCCTTCTTGATCTCAGTCTCTCCTGCTGCACCGATTTCTTCACATAGTCGATTGATAGCTTTGGTTCCACGTAGTCAGGCACCTCCTTCACTCTCAAACCCCCAATCTCTCTGTAGAATTTCCTTAGCGCCATTTGTCTTTCAAGTTTCTATCATTTTCAGTTGCAGAGAAACGGCTAGTGATGGAGACAAAAAGGAGGAAGAGGAAGAGAGTAAGCAAGGATAATTATTGTCATTTTAGATTAATTCTTTCCCTCGCTCTTATTTTTTTACACATTTGAAAGGAAAATTTAAAAAAAAAAAATAGACACCAGGACCAAGTAGCCCGTGAAGGTAAATCTCGTAAACAATTAATTAATATTGTACAAACTGCAGTAACGAGTTTCGATGAAACGGGATGGAATAATTACTTTCCCTTAGATTTTTAGATGACTTCAGATTTTTGGTTTGATTTATGAAATGGGTTATTTATTTTGCCCAAAACTAACAGGTTTGGTTCAATTGCAGTTTGATTTAAGAATGAGGAAAGTTCCATTTTTGATTTTTGGAGTTCATTGACTCAAACCTCCTAACTGTGTACCCCCTAGTCTTGGGCCAGTTTTGGGTTAACCAGTTTGATTTGGACATCAAATTTACACAAACGAGATTTTAATTTAATGGTTTGATTAGCCACTGAGTTAGTTGTTTCTATTCATTGAACTGATGATTCAAAGTAAAATAAAGTTTAGGATCTCTCATTTTAAAATTGTATCTTATAACTGTTTTAACTTCGGTATTTGTAACACATAAATGACTTTAACGAGTTTTCGACAAAAAATAATCAGAAACGTGACAGGGCAATTCTGTGAGATCCGATTTTTTGCGCATGGCATTTTACATGGAAAAAAGAACTCCAACCTTGCCAACTCAGCTGTCTGAGTGGATTCCACGTGAGCATATACATGAATTCTCTATTTTGTCCTTAAGAATACTAAAATGTCTCATCCTCTCTCTCTTCACCAGCAACATCATGACCACCGCCTGTACTTGGAAAACTGTCCAATTTTCGCAGAGAAATAATACAAAACGACCAATTCAGGCACCAAAAATTCCAACTTTGATCGAAAAACAAATAAAAAAAAACCTCAACTCAAAAGGTTATTTATATAAATGATAAATTATTCATTTCCCTAAATTCTCTAGCTCATACCTAGTCTTGCTCAAAGACTTCATTTTCTTTTGTCTCTCAGTATAGGGATCGCTCACTAGAGGAGGTGTACGAGCGATCGATGATATCGACTTCGGGGACAGGGCCATCGTGACACTACCATCAAGACCATACTTTTTTGGCTTCCTCGCTTTTTCTTCACTTGCATCGCCAGGTTCGCCATCTTGGATAGCGAAGGAGCCGCTGTCGGTTGTGATTTGGGTTTTAGTCGGAGGGAACATCGGATCCCACCACTGTAAACCACTCCACTATCACTTCTAAGAGTTTCTCTCCTCTTGTTTATATCTCGTTATCGGGCCAAAAACAAAAGCAATGGTGGTTGTGATAAACTCAATTGCTTCTTTTTATATAGATTTAGTTCCTTTATTTTCTAAAAATATTACTAAAAAACAATTTTGAATTCAGCTCAAATTATCTAAAAACAAAATTCAATTTTTGAAGAAAAGGAAAAAGTTACAGAAAAAACACAAAAAAATAGAAACTTATGGGTTTGAGAAGCTAAGTAGGAGCTAGAAGAGAAATTTTACAATAAATTTAATCTGCGAAAATTTGGGTGTAGCTTTATTTAAAAAATTGGCTTTTTATTTTTTGTTTTTAGGGAAAGAAGAAAGGTTTAGATCACAGCGATGGTTGAAGAAGGTGGTTTTGGAGGTGATGAACAAGGTGGTTTTGGTGGCATTGCTGGCGAAGAGAGGGGATGAGACACCTTTTGATGTTCTTAAAGACAAAGTAGAGAATTCAATGTATACGCTCACGTAGAATCCACTCGGGCAGTTGAGTTGGCCAGATTGAAGTTCTCTTTCTCCATGTCGGATGCCATGTGTCAAAAATCAGGTCCCACAGTATTTTCCTGTCATGTTTCCGATTATTTTTCAAAAATAAGTGTCTAACTTTTAAAAAAAATTTCTAATCAGATGTTTTTTGCATACATGCCGCGCTGGACTTGTGGGATCCATCCTCTGCTACATCAACAAATGACATGTCATATAGCCATCCAAATTAGTTATTAATGCGCCCAAAAGAACGTTATTATCCCTACTTGAATGATTCACCTAATTGATGATCCAACGGTCTTAAATCAATGGCTATTCTTACTCTCTTTGATTGAAACCCTAGCCCTCGCAGCCACTTCCATTCTCTTTTGTCCTCCTCCTCTACTCTTTATAGATCTCGATTCTTGCCTTTTTCCTTCATGCACAATATCAAAACTACCATCGCTCTTATCCCCTGCACTGCCTTCCTTCTTGACCTCAGCAGCGCCCTTATAGAAATTGGTAGATTAACATTTCAAGGTACGACAAGTACATTGCAAGGTACTGATCATTTTGTGCGGCCCAGTGGTTTCACATTCACCAGCACAGTAGTCATTTGTTAGAGAATGTGTAAGAATTACCCATTAATTCATTTTCTTTTCTTTTTTTTAACTGTGTTAATTATCTAATGGAAGGAGCGGCCATATTACGGTTCCGGAAACCGAAACCGGTCCGAACTGGAACCGGAACCGGCGAGAACCAGAACTGGTACGAACCGAACCGGAAATAGATTTTTAGTTCGGTTCCGGTTCCAGTTTTGTTGGAACTGCAAACCAGCAGTTCCACAAACCGGATGGAACCGCCGGTTCTCCGGCCGGTTAGAACCGCCGATTCTAACCGGTTGGAACCGGCGATTTTGGCCGTTAGAAACTGTCAGATTTATTTTTTTTTTAATTTTATTGTGAAATCTCTTAATTACCCCTCCCAACAACTATAAACGGCTAGTTTCAAAAGTATTTTTGGAAAAATAATTTTTTGGATTTATTATAAATACCTCATTTCATTCCATTTACAAATTTCTCACAAAAAAATCTCTACTCTCTCTACACTATATCATTCTTCTCTACTCTACAATCTCTCTTATTATTCTCTCTAATTTTTTTTTATTCAATTTTCCAAATTATATTTTATTATCATATAATGGCACCAAATTATATCTTATTATCATATAATGGCAAGTGGAGGAAACTCAAATTCAGGTAAGGGTAAGGGAAAGATTGGAGAAATATAATATTCATCTATCCCTACAAACGACATCTTTGATTTCACTCCCAACCAATTTAATTTTGAGGGATATCCAAATGACAATTTGAAAATTCCAACTCAAGAATCTGAATTTAATAATGAGCAATTAGAAGAAGAGGAAGAGTAAGAGCAAGAGCAACGTGCACAAATTGTTAGAAGAGCAAGAGCAAGACAAAGTTTCCGATTATTCGCCATTCATTTTACGAAAAAATTCATAAGGTGACAAAATGTTCGATGTAATTTCCAATTATTGTGGAAAATCTTATAAATTTAAACAATCGGGTAGCTATGGATCATTTTGGAAGCATTTGGAGACAAAACATCCAACAAAATAGGAGTTGATCGGTCTCAAACACAAATTTCTGGGTACGCATCATCTAACATTTCTTTATTTTAATATTCTAAAAAAAATAAAAAGAAGAATTAGCAAAAATGATTTCTATAGAACATTTATCTTTTAATTTTGGTGAAAAAGTAGGTTTTAATCAATATTGTAAAAAATATTGTCAAAAAGTTTTAAATCCTTCTGCTAAAAGAGTGCCAAGAAATACTGCAAAATGAACTATTATTTCTTTATATAATAAAGAAAAAAAAGAGTTAGAGCTTTTATTTTCTCAAATGAAAATTCGTGTTTCAATTTGTTGTGATATGTTTTGTGATATTTGGAGTGATCATATGGCAAATGCATTCTTATATGGGCATTCATGTCATTGGAATTGATGATGATTGGAAAATTCAAAAAAGAATTTAATTGCATTTCTGTGCTTTTAATGATAAATATACTGCAAATAATATTTTATAAGAATAATTATTTCAATTTTTAGATGAATATAAGTTGAACAAAAAAAATTTTTTCAATTTTATTTGATAATGCTTCTTGCTAATACTAAATCAATTATTAAATTTAAAAATATTATTTTGTGAAACAAAATTCGGGTGAAGAAAATTTTTTCAATATAAGATGTGGCATGTTGTTTTTAAATTTTAAATGTGTAACAAGATGTTTAAAAAATTCTTGAATATTTTTATTTCTCTATAATTAAAAAAGCCTATTTCATATTTATGGGGGACAATCCCTAAGTGATGAAAGTTGGGCTAAATTTGTAAGGAAAAATAATAAAAGACCAAACGTTTTCCAAAGGGATATCCCAACTCGTTGGGAATTCCCAACATATGAATTATTAAACGAGTCCTTTTTCTTATAAAGAATTATTATGCTTTTTTTTGTTACTAAATATATTGAACATATTAATTTATATCCATAAAAATTAGGATATTTGTGCAAAAATTTTAGATTATTTTAAAATTTTTTTTTTAATGAATGCTACCTATAAATTTAGTGGGGTTTATTATCTCACATCATCATTTATTTTTACCTATGTGTAATTTAATATTGTTAGTGCAACTCCATTAGTGCACTCCAAGAATTTGAAAATGATTATATAATAAAAGATTGTGTTTTTTTCAATGAAAAAAAATGGTTATCTTATTTTAAAAATATACTACTCCTTTATCTTGTTACTATTGTATTTGATCCTAGATGTAAAATTGATGTTTTATGTGAATATTTGACTATTTATTATGAAGTATTGCAATACTACATTTATATTAACATTATCTTCTATATCAAGATTTATATTAACATTAACTTCATGCAATACTATATTTATATTAATATTATCTTTTATATCAAAATTTAATACTTCATAATAAATAGTCAAATATTTACATAAAACATCAATTTTACATCCAGGATCAAATACAATAGCAACAAGATAAATGGGTGATATATTTTTAAAATAAGATAACCATTTTTTTTATTGAAAAAACACAATCTTTTAATATAATCTTAAAATTATTTTCAAATTCTTGGAGTGCACTGACAATATTAATGCATATAGGCAAAAATAAATGAGATGTGGGATAATAAACCCCACTAAATTTATAGGTAACATCATTAAAAATTTTTAAATATCTAAAATTTTTGCACAAATATCCCAATTTTGTGTATATAAATTAATTTTTTTCAATATTGTTAGTAACAAAAATGCACAATAATTCTTTATACGAAAAAGACTCGTTTAATAATTCATATGTTGAATTCCAATGAGCTGGGACATCCCTTGAAAAACGTTTTGGTCTTTTATTTTTTTCCTTATAAAATTTAGCCCAACTTTTCATCACTTGGGGATGTCCCCATAAATATGAAATAGATAAATATAAAATAACTTTTTTAATTGGAGAAATAAAAGATTAAGAATTTTTAAACAATCTTGTCACATAATTTAAAATATGGGCCCATGTACATCTTATATGAAAAATTTTTCCACCATATTTGGTTCACAAAATATTTTTAAGTTCAATAATTGATTTAGTATTAGCAGAAAGCATTTATCAATGAATTGAAAAAATTTTTTTTTTGTCAACTTAATAACATTTAAAATTGAAACAATTATTCTATAAATATTATTTGCAGTATATTTATCATCAAAAGCACGAAATGCAATAATTTTTTTTTGAATTTTTCAATCATCATCAATCCAATGACATGTAATGCCCATATAAGAATGCATTTGCCAATAATCACTCGAAATATCACAACAAATTGAAACACGAATTTTTATTTGAGAAAATAAAAGTTCTAACTCTTTTTTTTCTTTATTATATAAAGAAATAATAGTTCGTTTTACAGTTTTACAGTATTTATTGGCACTCTTTTAGCAGAAGGATTTAAAGCTTTTTGACAATATTTATTAAAACCTACTTTTTCACCAAAACTAAAAGATAAATGTTCTATAAAAATCATTTTTGCTAATTCTTATTTTTGTATTTTTTCAGAATTTTGAAATAAAGAAAGGTTAGAAGATGTGTACCCGGAAATTTGTGTTTGAGACCGATCAACTCCTATTTTTGTTGAATATTTTGTCTCCAAATGCTTCCAAAATAATCCATAGCCACCCGATTGTTTAAATTTATAAGATTTTCTACAATAATTGCAAATTACATCGAACATTTTCTCACCTTTGAATTTTTTGGTGAAATGAATGGAAATGAATGCGTTGAATTATATCGGAACTTTGTCTTGCTCTTTCTAACTGCTCTTCTAACAATTTGTGCACGTTGCTCTTGCTCTTACTCTTCCTCTTCTTCTAATTGCTCATTATTAAATTCAGATTCTTGAGTTGGAATTTTCAAATTGTCATTTGGATATCCCTCAAAATTAAATTGGTTGGGAGTGAAATCAAAGATGTCGTTTGTAGGGATAGATGAATATTATATTTCTCCAATCTTTCCCTTACCCTTACCTGAATTTGAGTTTCCTCCACTTGCCATTATATGATAATAAGATATAATTTGGAAAATTGAATAAAAAAAATTAGAGAGAATAATAAGAGAGAATTAAGAGAGATTTGTAGGAGAAGAGAAAGGAATATATAGGTGTAGAGAGGGTAGAGATTTTTGTGAGGAATTTGTTAATATGGAATTAATGAGGTATTTATGAATAAATCCAAAATCACCCTTGAAACTAGCCGTTTATAGTTGTTGGGAGAGGTAATTAAGAGCATTTTACAACAAAAAATTAAAAAAAAAAAAAATTTAATCTGACAGTTTTTCTATACGGGCTAGGAACCGGACGGTTCTAACCGGTTAGAGAATTCAAAGCGGGTCCGTGGACGACCGGTTTGGTGGAACCGCCGGTTTTACAGTTTCAAACAAAATTGGGAAACCGGAATCGAACCGAAAATCTCGGTTCTGATTTCGATTCGTGGCCGGTTCCGGTTGCCCACCGGGTTTTTGATTCCGGTTCCTATCGGTTGGTTGGTTCCGGTTTAGGACCAATTTCCGAACCACTGGTTCCGGTTCCTGGAACCAGTAAATTATGGCCACCCCTAGGCCCTAGCCAATACCTTTATTTTCAGAAAGTTGAGACTTACTAAGATATCAAACTCAACCATCTAAGAAATCATTACTCAATTCCTTTTATTACATACACTTTTCATGGATTTCCTCCAATAAGATATAATTTGGAAAATTGAATAAAAAAAATTAGAGAGAATAATAAGAGAGATTGTAGAGAAGAGAAGAATGATATAGTGTAGAGAGAGTAGAGATTTTTTTGTGAGGAATTTGTAAATGGAATTAAATGAGGTATTTATAATAAATCCAAAAATACCCTTGAAACTAGCCGTTTATAGTTGTTGGGAGAGGTAATTAAGAGATTTTACAACAAAATAAAAAAAAAAATTTAATCTGACAGTTTCTAACGGCTAGAACCGGCGGTTCTAACCGGTTAGAGAATCAGCGGTTCCGACCGGTTTGTGGAACCGCCGGTTTACAGTTTCAACAAAATTGGAACCGGAATCGAACCGAAAATCTCCGGTTCTGATTTCGATTCGTGCCGGTTCCGGTTCCCACCGGTTTTGATTCCGGTTCCTATCGGTTTTGGTTCCGGTTAGGACCAATTCCGAACCACTGGTTCCGGTTCCTGGAACCATAATATGGCCACCCCTAGGCCCTAGCCAATACCTATTATTTCAGAAAGTTGAACTACTAAGATATCAAACTCAACCATCTAAAAATCAACTCAATTCTTTTATTATCATACACTTCATGGATTTCCATCAAGTCTAAAGCCTTTAGGCTCGGTTTGGAAAAAGAAAAATATTATTGTAACTAAATAAAAATCAACGTGGTTTTTTCTAACGAGGGTAAGAGTGTCTGTCTCTTGCAGGATTAAATCACACGTGAAATGCATGTGTCCGGCAGATTTGGATGATTATATGATATGTCATCTGCTAATGTGGGGAGGGATGGTTCCTATTTGATCCAGATGTCAACTCTAGCGTGCCACATACAAGAAACACTTGATTAGAAAATTTTTTTATCCTTGGACAATTAATTGAAAAATTTTTCTGTGTAGACACTCAAATATCAAAAATTAAAAAGTTCAGATACTAACAATATAATTAAGCTTTTTTTCTATGCTTAGAATGAATCGCTTATGTGCCACAATAATTAATAGCATTTTTCAAAGAAAACATGTTGAAAATTAGTTTAAAAAATATTAAAGTCTTTAATTTATAACACCATGAAAATATAAATAATAATAGAAATTTTGTATTTTAGAATTTTATTGTTAAATATAAAAAATGTAAAAAAATGGTAAATTATGAAAGTTCTCAATGACCGATGGTGGCAGCCGATGATGATCGGTTGTGGTAGCTGGTGGTGGATGGTGATAAGTTGTGGTGGCTGGTGGTGGATGGTGATTGGTGGTAGTGGCTAACGATGATTAATAAATTAAAAAATATAAATGTATAAAGTTATAATAAATTTATCGATGTATGAAACTTGGGAATAATGATAATTTCAGTGTATAAACTTTCACATTTTTTTTCTATTTGAGTATCTGTCTGAAAATATTTTTAATTGAGTGTTGAAAACATTTTAAAACAACCAATCAAGTGTTTATCGCTTGTTTTGCTAACCGGAATGCTGACTTTTTAGATGTGGTCCCAACTTACGTGGCAGCCAATGTGTATTAAAAAGACATATTAGCTAGGATCTAAGTGGACAGATACATATAAAATCCCAAAATTCAACCCATTTTCTCCGTCTCTCACCCCCAAACTTCTTCAACCTTTACATGGCGAATAGTTAGTAAGCATGTGAATAATCTAATAGAATATCCAAAATAACCTTCTGCAGATAAGCATGCCGCAATAGCCTCTGCTTCTTGAATCGTTTATTGCACTTCGTCATTATCAAAGCCATTCCGTCCAAACGTCATCCCAAAAGCTATCGTAAATGCAATATTCACAATAAGAGCATATGCTTTTTTGCTAAGATTAACAAGAGCTGCGGATGATGATAACTAAGAACAATTTCTTGCAATATGATTTTCATGGTTTTTTTTTTTTTTCTTCAAAATCAATTTTGGACCAATAAAAACTATAATGCAGAAAGCCATGTCAGTTAGCTTAATCCAAAAACTGTTATTAGCAATGGCAATGTCAAATAGGCTTTCATAATATGATTTTAGAGTTTAAAAAAAAAAACATAAAAAATTTTAAATTTTTTGCTGCATATATATAAATTAGATGAGATGCATAATTTTTTTCTTGTTTTATTTTGCAATACTGGTATAAGGATCTATCTCAAGTTACATTGAAGGGTGAAAAAGCAATGTCAAGGTAATTGTGAGTGAGTCTCTGAGCACCAGGTAAGCAAGGTCTACTGCAACAGTCAAGATCATGAGTTTTGAAGACCTCTTTTGCTGCTTCTTCTTGTACTTAGTCCCCGGCTGTTATTGATTTTACAAGACAAAAGGCAATCTTGCCCTAATATGCTTTTGGAGGTGAGAGATAAAGAAGATAAGATCAAGTTTGGAATTTTATGTATATGTCCATATAGATCTCAATTGACATGTCTTTTTAATACACATCGACTGCCACATAAGCAAACATAGGGACCATATCTGTAAAGCCAGCATTCCGACGAGCAAAACTAGTGATAGACACTTAGTCGGTTGTTTTAAAATGTTTAAGCACTTAACAGTATTTTACTGTGAAATACTCAAATAGAAAAAATGTAAAAGTTCAAGCACTGAAATTATTATTATCCTTCGGAAAATATTTTTCTCTCTTTAAAATGGAAAATCATTTTCTTAAAGTGACTCAATTTTTCATTAAGCATGAAAATATTTGTTGATTTATTTTCTTGAATGCTCTAAAAGATGAAAAATTATAAAAAATATTTTTCTTCACGTTATTTAATGAAAATAAATTAGCCTTAATTGGAGTTTTGCCTCTCCGAAACCTCCGCAATGATTCGATAAGCCAAATTAGCTTAGAAATTTCATTGTAATTTTTTAAATAATTCAAATATTCAATGTTTTAAACTATTTTTTATTCGAAAGTAAAAGTAGAAAAATTGAAAAGTTTATATATTAAAAATATAATTAACCCTTGAGTTTTTAACAAAACGGATGAATTCTATCCATGTCCATATGTGTAGAGTGTCCGAAGTAATGAAAGACGAGACACGCTTAAATTTAGGAATCGTAATAAGAGAATTCAATCCATTAAAAAACACTAATATATTTCATCTGAAACTCCAATAGATCTAAAAGTTGGTTTAGGGTCACGTCAAGATCTGAATCGCCAATGCATTTCTTAACTACCAATGACGGAGCTTTACTCTTCCTTTCTTCCATTTCGAAGTTTTCAACTTAGCTCGCTCAGCTCAAAGCTTCTGAAAATCCAAATGATCCTTACTTGATAAGCTAAGCTAAACCAAAAACCCAACTAAACTTACAGCCATGCCGTCATCTCCTAAATACCTTCATTCCCGCCTTTCGCCGCCATCCCCTTCCCGCCGATCAGCGTTCCTAATGTTCTTCTGCCTCTTTATCGGCATCTCCGGCCTCATCTTCGGACTCACTGCCCCGTCCGGCTACCGCTGTTCCCATACCACCGCTGACCCACGATCTGTTCGCGTGGTCTGGGACATCAATTCTAATACTAATCTTAACAATAACAATAACGACGGTTCCGTTTTGAATACCGAGAAGAAGAGGCACAAGGTTATGGGGTTTGTAGGGATTCAAACTGGGTTTGGCTCTGCTGGCCGGCGAGAGTCATTGAGGAAGACGTGGATGCCGTCCGATCTCCAGGGCCTTCAACGGTATGTACATAATGTATTTATGTTCTCATTTTGTAGTTAGTTGATGAAATTTGGAAAGTGCATTCTTAGTTTAGAATTTATATGCTTGAATTGGGTTTTACTAAGATTCCAATTTAGGACTTAAGCAATCAACAAAAACTAACTGTTTTAGCTTAATTAATTGGTTTCAGGTTGGAGGAATCTACTGGTTTGGCTTTCAGGTTTATTATTGGTAAAACTAATGATAAATCGAAGATGGCTAAGCTGAAGAAGGAAGTTGCAGAATACGATGATTTCTTGCTATTAGATATCGAGGAACAGTATAGTAAGCTCCCCTATAAAACGTTAGTGCTCATTAATGAATATATTAATTTCTTAATCTTATAGGGAGTCTGACATTTTGCGAATCATATGCTCATCAGTCATCTGTTTGTTCAATTGCAGTTTAGCATTCTTTAAAGCTGCTTATGCGCTTTTTGATTCAGAGTTTTACGTTAAAGCTGATGATGACATATACTTGAGACCAGGTGATTGGAAAACCTTATGTATATTCATTATTTTTGGCCTACATTGTTGATTAGCTCTTGTTTCCTTGTACACTTCCATTCAAGCATATTACCATCTGTTAATTGCTTTCTTAGATCGTCTCTCCATACTCTTGGCCAAAGAGCGTGGCCACTCTCAAACATATCTTGGATGCATGAAAAAGGGGCCAGTATTCACTGATCCAAAGCTCAAATGGTTTGTCCTTTTCTTTATTGTTCCTATTTTATCATTTCTGTTGAAGTTCTTCTAGGCAGTGACTTACTCATCTCCTTAGTGCCCCTGGATTTTATATTAATATTCCTAATGGTCATTTTTCCCATTATAGCTTTCATAATAGAAGGAAAAACTGTTAAAATATTGCAAGCAATAACATAGTGCCACATGGATGATGAAAGTGCCTTTTGGCCTTCTGTAATATTAGCATGGATGATTGCCTGAAAGACATTGCAGATAGGAAAAAGTAATCAAATTTATGAAGGGTATACGGACAAGGATGAGTATATTATAGCTTAGTGGTGCTATATTCCTTCAAAGTCATGCATCTGTCTTAAGCCTTTGAAATTGGGATCTCATCTCCAATAATCATCACATATACCACTACAGTTCAGATATGTTGTCTAACCCAAAAGTTAAAGAACAGGGATCAATTTTTGGGGAAAATGATGTTAAATAGTAATTGATTCTTAGGAGAATTTAGATTCTAAGGATTCTTACCTGGATGGGACTAGGGAATTTGTGGACTGATAATGGTGCTGATGAGACGAACATCATGTTTGAGGCATAGAGGAGATTGTTGATAGAGAAGTTCTTTGAGAAATATGAAGATAATCATCTACGCAATGATTGAGATGAAATATTTTCTGAGGTTGATGTCAATTATTTTCCAAACAGGCAGGGGTTCACTACTTTGATCGGGGTATTTCCAGAACCTTCATCTTATTGATGATTAGCTTCATATTGATTATGGAGTTTCTTATCAAGATTGAGGATTCTAGTGCTTATTATGCTTAGGGGACCACATGAATGACAAAAGATTGGTCCCTGTGGTGAAAGGCCAGACCGTGGTTGGTGATAACACCCTAATAGTATAATTTCTTTTTTTTTTTTTTTTTTTTTTTTTTTTGGAGGGATTCTAGTGCTTATTATGCTTATGGGACCACATGAATGACAAAAAGATTGGGTCTTCTGTGGTGAGTAAGGCCAGACCGTGGTTTTGTGATAACACCCTAATAAGTATAATTTTTCTTTTTATTTTTTCGGTTTTTTTTTTTCTTTGTGACCTACTTGGTTGTTGGTGTTCACGCTAGTTGGAAAGGGTGCATTTTCCTTTTTTTTTTTTTTTTTTTTTTTTTTTTGACCTACTGTTGTTGGTGTTCACTAGTTGGAAGGGTGCATTTTCCTTTAATTGAAACTTAGCGCTTCAAGTTGACAAGTAGGTAATTGATTATGCTCAGCACATACGTTGTGCCTGGAACAATATTCATTTTCTTTTCCACCTCTTCCTAATTGCCCAAATCTTAGCATCTCCTACTTTCACAGTTTTGTTTTCTCCTATTTGTCTCTTTCCTTTTAACGTTCTTTATGTTCTTCAATTTGTGAGATTTTAGTTGGTGAGATTTCAATTGGGCTTGACATCTTATCTCAACCCCATGAGATTCATACAAGTAATTTATGGGGTTAACTAAGGTTTGTAATCCCTCACAGAGGCTTTCATTATCTTCAATGAAGAGAGCACCGATGGGGACATGGCAATTTCCTTCTCTTTCTTTTGTCCTGTTTCTGCCTTTTATTCTTCTATTCTTTGCTGGGTGTCGGAATTTGTGCTAGGGTGGTAAGGGGATGTGAGAAGATCATGAAGGATATCCTTCAAGATAGGATAAAAGATGGTCAATGTAGCCATTTGGTGAATTGGGATATTTTCTTTAAACCAAAATTCTAACAGTGTAAATCCTGGATGATTTGGTGTCCTAGAACATTATTCTGCTGAGCAAATGGTTCTGGCAACTGTCCTTAGAACTAGAAACTCTTTGGCATAAGATGATTATGAGCATGGGATTCCCCAGAATGGGTATGCAAAATATGGAGTAATGTGAGCCCTTGGAGATTTGCATCTGTATATTTTAATTTTTGGATAGCCTCATTATGCAAGTTCTTGCCCTTGTTCATTGTCCAGTTTCTGACCCTTATGCTTTGGCCAATCACATTCAGAAGGCATGGTTTCTTCGAAGGGTTAAGCTCTTTATTTAATCTGCACTCTGCAGTTGTTAACAGGATTAACGCTAATAATCTGGTTCATGTGTAAATATGGACACGGGTAGTTTCAAAGATGCATATTATGTGCTAGCAAGAGCTGCAAGATTCATAAGTCTCTGTTTTAATGTTATTCCATTATGTAAGTATTTGGAGTAGGAATTTTGGTATGCTCGTAAAACTATGTCTTTACACATAAAGTTTAGAGTGTTTATTGTTGATTTCTGTCAATGGTTGGGATATTCTTTTCCAGAGATGTGCTGTGATTTGGTGTCTAATGTGTTGGAAAAGAATACATTGGTCTGTAAGGATCATGTTTTTGAATTTGCAATTTATTTAGGATAAGGTTGTTTTTTTGGTATCATTCTGGTGTTCAGTGTCTCGAACTTTGAATTTGTTTAACCAGGGGCAGAACTAGACTTCAAGTATTAGGGGGCCATTTTTTTAAAAAAAGAAATAAAAAATGAAGAGCAAAATCAGTGGCCAATACGGATATCTTAATATATAGGATACTATATATATATATATATATATATATATATATATATATATAATTTAGGAGGAAATTTTGAATTTCTAGAAAATTTTGGGAGACAAATATGGATATTTTTGAAAATTCATATAAAATTCTGAGGGGAAAGTTCGAATTTAAAATGTTGGGGGCAAGTATGAATTTTTTTGGAAATATATGTAAAATTCTGAGGGGAAAAATTCAATTTTAAAAAACCTGGGGCAAACAGTAGCCACCCAAGGCCCTATGTGGATCCATTCCTGTGTTTAACAGATATCAGCGAGATTGGACTGTAACAGTTAGGTAGAGAATGTATCCAAGATGCAATCAAATATGGATTGTTACATAAACATTCTTTTTATGCTTAATTTACAATGTTAACCAGAGTTGCACGAAGAAATTCAACTTTTTGAATTCCCTCAAAAAAAAAAAAAAAAAAAAAAGGGGTTGGCATATAGATTATATTAACCAAAATTCAGCATGATATTGATAATTTTTGTTCTTTCATCTAAAAACCTAGAAAAAAAATAAAGGAAGAATTCCAAAAAAAAAAAAAAAAAAAAAAAAAAAAAAAAAGGAAGAAGAAGAAGAAGAAGAAGATACTCCTAGAATATAAGGGAAAACCTGTCATGCTAAATAATAGCACATTTAAAAAAAAAAAAAAAAAAAAAAAAAAAAAAAAGGAAGAAGAAGAAGAAGAAGAAGACTACTCCAGAATATAAGGAAAACCTGTCATGCTAAATAATAGCACATTGCACTTCCTTGAGATAAGATGTGATGAGAGGTCAGCAATTTTTAGGGAGAAGATAAAAGTTTGTGTGGGTGTCTTCAGGCAACAGTTATCATGTTTAGAGAGGAATTATCCTCTTTAGCTGATTTTTCAATCAAGAAGCCCTTTGGACCCATGTCAGTTTCTTTTTAGGTTTTGAATATACTTTGTTAAAAATTGTTTGTGTGCATGTGTTTAAAGTGAAAATGTATTCAGGTTACAGTATTTAAATCTAAATCAAGTTATGTAGGCATGGGTAGTGTGCACTTGCTCTAGCTGTGAACAAGGACTTCCAAATCCAATTCTAGTTACTTGGGTATTTAAGGTCCTTTTCTTTTCTGCTTAGTGCCTTGGGTTTTTTTCTTGCTTTGTACTTCCAATATTTTTATCAATAATTCATTTTCTTGTTCTTTCAACTGTCCATAGAAAATGCTAAGGTGTGGCACAAAGCTATAACGGAAATAGCAGCATAGAAAGCCTAATATCAGCCTTCTTCATTATTCCCAGTTCTTTTCTGCAATAGCCCTTAATTATTCCCAGAATACATCTGCATCATACTGCTACCCTTATGCCCAGTCAAATATCATATTTAGAGGACAGGCTTTTTTGTTATGTTTTCCCATTTCTCATGTTTAGAGAAGTAGTTCATCAAATAAACCCTAGAGGCTTAACAATAACTAAAAAAGAATTAGTTCTTCAATATGCAGTCATAAGTTATTAGGTAATAAGAATATATACTGATTCATGCAGGTACGAACCACTGTCCTTTTTGCTTGGGAAGGAGTATTTTCTTCATGCTTATGGTCCAATATATGCTCTTTCTGCTGATGTTGTTGCAAGTTTAGTTGCTCTTAGAAACGACAGGTGATTTTGCTTATACCCTTTCAGGCCTCCACCTGGAACCTTTTACTTATTAATTCTGGAACCTTTTTCTTTTTAATATCTTGTTTCCGTCATTTACATTTATTTAATTTTATTTTTAGACCTAAATTTTTTGAGTAGCAGCAAATTTGGTATTTATTATGGTTTTGGTACTCTGTCATCTGCCAAGTCTTAGAGGAAGCTCTTGTTGAAAATATGAAATCCTATAACAGTTGTTGATATTACGAGGAGCCTATTATGCTGCTCTTCTTTGCTTTTTTTTCTTCTGCACTTGTTTTCTCACCATCAAATTCTTGTTGAAAAGAGCATAACTCTTAGGACATAGGCATGAAGGGAAAAAATCCTTAAAAATAAAAAATAAAAAAAACGGAAAAATTCTAATGACCTTGTAATTTATTCTCCTTACTCATTGCTCTTCTCTTCCTGAGTTAGCAGGTTTATTTGGTGTGATGAATATTGCTTGCTCGTGTTTGCTTGTGGCATTGCAAGCACTTTGATCATTAGTTTTGTAGGAAATTGCCACACTATGACTGTGGAAAATCAGAAATTCGAGAAAAAGTTTTCCTTCCATATGACATCTCTTTTTTCCTTTGAAATATCAGTTTTAGGATGTTCAGCAATGAGGATGTTACAATTGGTGCATGGATGCTTGCAATGAATGTTAATCACGAGGATGATAGAGCACTGTGTGAACCGGAGTGTACGCCATCATCTATTGCTGTCTGGGATATTCCTAAGTGTTCAGGTTAGTGTCTTTTAACCAGATAGAAGCAAACGGAAAACAGTATCTGGGTTAAGCTTTTGTTAGAGTTCAGTTCCATGATCATATGTGCCACTGATTTTATTTTATTTCACATGATTGAGAATCAAAGCACATTGTTTCAGATATTGGTTGTAAACACATGAAATGGTTTCAACATTATAAAACTATGAATGGTTTATTACTATCAGATAAAAATATAAGGTACTGGGACAGATTTTTTTTTTTTTTTTTCCTAGTTTGGAGATGGTAACTAATTGAACCTAACATTTTAATCATTGCAATTAAAATTATGTTTCAATTTTATTTCTATCCAACTGCATTAGCCAGAGCAATCAGAACTATACTAAAAAGTTCAAAATTTAAAGATTTTAACTATAAGAATTGCAACATGTGAGTTTTATAAACAACTAGTTTGTCATTTACTAATAAAAACTGGGTGTCAATTAATATCCTATGAGCACCTGTTTTATTTGACTTTTTCAGCGAGAACAAGATATAGTGTTGTAAGTCACTCTTTATGCAGGGCTCTGTAATCCTGAAACCAAACTATTGGAGCTCCATCAGCAGGAAAGTTGCTCAAAAAGCCCAACTATGGCATCTGATGATGAGTAGCATTTCCGTCTCATTTTCTTCCAAATTTGTTGCACTGAAGAAGCATTTACAAGAGTTGCATACTTCCTGTTGGCTGTGCTGCTATCAGATACGTCTAATCAATTTCCTTCAACACATCTTAATTTTTTCCTCTGCTACCTTCTTAGATTATTCATTCTTTCTGTAATCACCTCTCAAATGTTGTAGATTAGAAAGAACAGAATTTTACAAAACCCTAAATTTTCAGTCAAAGCTTTAGAATTTAGGATAAGAGAAGCAATTAGGGTGATTACAGATAGAAATTTTTTGCTTTCATATATCCAATCCCAACTAGTTTGGGATTAAGGTTTAGCTGTTGTTGCTATTGTAATTATAGTGATATTGAATACATCATACCATATTTTGATGGCAAACAGCTCATTTGCAAGGCAAATACCAAAGCTGTTGCATTGTTTATTAGATGTCACCTCCTGGCGTTGGAGCTTACGGCAACTCCACTGCCCATGAGAGCCAAGTTGAATCTAACATAATGCCTGATCTTGAACTCGATTTGATTAGAAACCTCGAGACATAAAATTTGAGTGGAGCTTTGATGGAGTTTTAACTTTCGTACTCCAACTTGGGCAACTATTTTTTGTTTTTGATTCAATCCGGGGCTCTCCTTCACCTCATAGACTCAATAGCATGCTTTTTTCCTCGTTTTTCTTCAATTATAAGAAAAAAAAAAGGTGCTTAAACAGAGGCTTGAAATACTTGAACTTGATTAAACTAGACTTATTTATAATTAAAATTTTAAATAAAGTTATCTATTAATGTTAAAATAAAATTTGAACAAGCTCAAGTTCAAGTTAATAAATTACTATTTAAAGATTATAAAGAATGTATTTAAAATTTGTATATTTGATTAGACTTGCAAATCCCTAAAGTCGTACCTGATCTTGGCTGAAATCATTATTTGATTTTGAGTTTAATTTCGAGTCAAGATTCGAAAAATTTCCAACCCGGGATAGTTGAGCTCAACTCATTTACACCTGAAGCAGAGGCAACAGTTTCTGTGAGATCAAGGATATTGTATGGAGAAACAATTAGACATTGGTTTTAAGTATGCCTGGACCCAACTTGGGGCAAGATTACATAACCAGACTGCTAACTTGAAGTTCGATAATATTGTAACCTTGATGAGCTGAACGGGACTGGGCTCTTCTCTGCAACAGTTGCAATATGCTCCAACAGGCTTTCCTTTCTGTCTTAGATATATGCAATGTGCTCCTAGTGGCCTAGTTCAGTTCATGTTTTATAATGCAAGTAGTTGGGTTTAAAATTATCTAACAATATAATCTAACATGTTTAGAAATTGTTCATTAAGCATTAACGTCAAATATAAAATTTTCATTTTTAAATTTTATTCAAATTTCATTTTTGAACTGCATAATATTTTTATATCAAAATTTATGAAAGGTAAATGTTAGAAAGTGATATTCTAATTTGGCATATTGATTTGTTTCCCATCATATTGATTAGAATTCACATCTTGATTTTAGGGTTGTGTTACGCAATAACTTTTTAGTAGCTTTTAGCGCTTTGATTGATCAAAATGCTAAATGCTACTTAGGAAATTATTCAGTAATATAGCGTTTGGACTAATTTTTAAAGGATTAGGGTAGCGTTTTGTAAAATATTAACTCATATAATTTTTAGCGTTTCATGAAAAACTACTAAATTAAACACTATTAAAATAACTAACAGCTTATTTTACCGAACAAATCCTTGACCAAGAGTATTCTTTTATGTAAAAGAAGACTTAATATAATAAGTAAAAGTTAGATCATAATTTTAAAAAAAAGAAAAAAAGAAAAAAACTGAAAATGAAATAGAAAGAAATACAAAATGTAAATGGAAATAAAAGTAATAAGTCTTATTTCTATATTTGAATTTTTTTTATTCTATTCTTTTATTCGTCATAACAAGGCTAAATAACCAAAAAAAAATTTGAATTTTGACGCTTTTGGCAAATTTAGACTATTTTTAATTGTACAAATTACCATCTCTGACTTATTTGTTTTTGTCAATTACGACCTCCGTCCAGAGCCTGTTACCTTGTTGCTTATTTGGCTGTTAATTACCTATGACATGCCAACTCACATTCATATGACCATTCTTTGACCGTTTATCTTTGCTTTTAGAATCTCTAAATTGAAAGATTCTGTCGCTGAGATAATCTCCTTCCCATCTCACCTTAAGTTTGAAAATTTGGTATGTTTTTACAATTGACGAATTTCTGATGGATCTTCAGAGAGCAATTCGCATCATCAGGAATCCCAAAGTCCGCCAAGTAGGCGTCTTTACTCATGGAGTTGCATCGCTCGATCACAGCCAATCTGACTCTGGACCGCAATCATAATTGACAATAAAAAATAAGTAGAATGTATTTATTGATAAAAGTAAAATTATTGGCCAAATTTTAAAAAATAAAAAATTTAGGCCTTTTTGTGTGTGTGTGTGATTAAGCTTTATAACATGTGGAAAATTTGGAAGTGTTTAAATGATTGGTTTAGTTCAAAACCGGAATAGATTTAAATTTTCTGAAATGAAAACCAAACTGAACTGAATAGTGTGCAAAAATTTGGTTGAATTCAATTCAATCATTTTTGCGAGTCTTTAGCTTCTTTTTTTTGTTTTCTTCATGGAAACCAAACTCTTGAAAAATTTCAGTTTTTGTCTACGAAAACTGAACTTTATGCATGAAAAGCCAAACTCAACTAGCTCAGTTTGGCAAAAAATGCTTAGTCCTAGAAATAGGATGAGGAGTCACTAAAATACCCGTAACTAATAATTTTTAATTTATTTAATGGAAATATGTGAAACTATTAAAATCAAAACCTCAATTTCCAACTATAAGGGTAGGTATCTTTAGTTTTTTTTAAAAAAAATAAAATAAAATAGTAAACTATTTTGACCCTCTGTTTCCTCTATATTACTCAAAAATGCTACCTGCACTCACTCTTTAGAGGCAATACTCCATTTCTAAATGAAAATCAAATCAACTCATCTATTTTGGGTGGGTTTGGGTAGATGTTATAAAAATTCGGTCACCAATCAGTTTGGCGAGGAAAACCGTTTGGTTTAGTAAATTTTGATTCGATTACTATATATCATCAAATTTATAAAATAGCTTATTTAGTTCAGAATAATTGAATCCAAAATTGAACCAAACCAATTCAATTTGGTTTTTATACTCTGGGGTGTCAAGTTTAATTACTTATAATGCATTCAGTTAGATCGAAACTGAGTTTATTTAGTTTGATTTGACTCAGTTAATCAACTGCTTGCCCCTTCTCTTTAAAATGACTATCTAATATTCTTCTTCTTATTGGTCGAAAAATCTTAATTAAAAAACTTAAATGGTTTAATTTGTTGAGGAGAAATGCTAGCTGCATTCAGCTATTTAGAATGACTATCTAATACTTTATTTGAAAAAATAAAGAAAATAAAATAAAAAATATAAAAAAATTGAAAAATAAAAATATTTTCCTTGTATTTCCAAATAAAAAAATAAAAAATATATATATGTTTTTTGTTTTTCTTCCTTCATGCTCTTATATTGTTTTTCTTCATCGAAACAAAGGGTAAAAATGAAATGATCTTTTGTTGTTGTCATTGGGGTTGTGTTTGCCATGTGCTTCAGTTTATGCACCCAATAATTAACCAAGTGTTTGCCATGTGATATTGCAAGATGCCCTGTTGCTTTCTGCATTTCTTTTTTTCTGGCTACAGCTCAAAATCCAAAATTAATTCATTTTTTCTAACAAATGATTGATGTCAATGAAAATTTTTTTAAACATAAAATAAAAATATGGTTCTTTGAAAAAGACTAACATAAATCTGTGAAAGAACAAGAGCCACCAATCCTTCTAGAGAATAGAACTTAGTTAAATATTTTTCTTTCTTCCTATCATCAAGGAAGTCTTCCCATGTGCATACTCTCCTCATTTTGTTTGGTGTCATGTGTTAGAGGTCCATAAGTGCTCCCCATTCATTTATCCATATTCCAAATTCATTTTGGCTAACATACTTCTAATTATTGTTTATTATCTGTATTTCAATCATAAAGGAAAAGACTTTATTGTGTTTTTTCTCTAAGCAATTCAGTCATCAAATCATATATATACGGCGAAATATATAGAATTATCTCTAAAGTTTACGTGATTTATCTTATGATACTCTAAAATTTGCAGTAAATCTATCATGACCTTATGCTTTCACGTTTTAGTAATAACTATATCACTCGTCGAAATAAAATAACTTTATAAGAATTCAATTATGACCATACGCTTTTGTATTTTATTTGATGAGAGACAGTTATTATTGAATGTGAAAGTATATGATTATAATAGGTCCTCTGTAAATTTTAAAGTGCCACAAGACAAATCGGATAAATTTTAAAGATAAATTTATGTATTAAGCTATATATTTATAATAAGGGTCCTCTGTAAATTTTAAAGTGCACCAAACAATCGATAAATTTTAAGATGAAATTTATGTTATTGAAGCTTGATATATATATATATATATAATATATATATATATATATATATATATATATATATATTATATATATATATTCCAAGCAATGAACATTTGATCTTATCTTTAAGCACGAGAATAAATGTATGTCTATATGTCCATAGAGCTATATAGACAATGTTGGGATTTCATATAAAGCATAACATTCTTGATGAGTATGCTGTTCCTTTAGATTTTGCTACAAAGATTTGTATTTGTTTTCCAAAAGCTGAGAGTTTTTTTTTTTTTTTTTTCATTAGAAGAGAGCTTTTTTCAAGAGAAAGAGAGAATTCCACATAAATTAATATTTTTCTTCTGATATTATATAGGCATATTTTCCCTTGCTTTTATTTAATGGTACCACATTCTTATGATATTATTAATATTAATATTAATTTTCATTCAATTATCATATTAATATAATATTATAACTTATTCTTTGAATTAAATTACCATAATATTTATTGTCATATTAATATCTATCGTAATTTATCTTTCTAAATTAAGATTATCATAATATTTAAATAACATAAAAAATTATATTATTCTTTAATATATAATTAATTAATTATATATCATTTATCATACTTATTGTAAATCAATATTTCTTTTCCGTTGCAAATAATTAATCACTCCGATACATTAAATTAAAAAATGATGATAGCCTCCAAAAGACTAAGCAATAATTTTGAATTTGTGTATATTGACATACTTTTGAGTCTGAGAGTCTATGAGCTTTGATAAAGCTATTGAGTTGAGTTCGTTTACTAAAGAAAACGAGCATCATTAGCTCTCGGGCAACTTTATCAAATTTGAGTATTATTCTTTAATATATAATTAATTTTATATATCATTTATCATTTACTTACTTGTAATCAATAATTTCTTTTCCTGTG